TGTTTCTCAAACTTATTTCTTCTACCGCCCCCTTTAAAAATTAATTATTTTTCATCACCCCTCATTTTTTATACACTCCTAAAACTTAAAAACCACAATTTCATTACTTAATTAATTTAGTTATAGTGTGCTGTATTAGTCGGTTCTGGTGTTTAAACAGAAATTTTTACGAGTGAGAGGAATTAAAGCGCGACTTAATAATATTAATAATATATTTTAATCAAATTAAAAGAAACAATATAGATAGGTAATCAATTTTAGTTTTTAAACTAATCTAATGGGATGGATGAATTTGATGATTTTTAACAAGTTTGTTGATATCAGGTTCGATTTTACTCAAAAACGTAAGTCGCCGCGTTTGGTAACTTGCAAATGATTTCTCTTTTTAGTAAGCAGCGTTGTCACACAGCGCTAAATCCACGTTCACACAAATATGACGATGGGAATGATATCAAAAATTGTTGAACGATCGACCACAATCCAGGGTACAACTGCGGAATTGACTTTTTTGTAGCCAAAATTGTTGGTAGCCATTTTTTAGACATTTACACAGCTGTATGCTTTTCGTCATTTTACAACGTACGCGCATACGGCGTGCGGGCTATCCTACGAAATCTATGTTAAGTATTTTAAGTTTTTATACCATCATACAGGGTAGAAATATAAACTAAGTATTCGTTATTGTGTAGTAGGTAGGTTTTAATTCTAGTGAAATTTAAAATATAAAGTAAATCAAATTACAAATCTACCATCGCCCCCCTAACCCACGTCAACGCCCCCCATTTTTTTCTGGGCCCCTTAACGCCCCCCTCTAGGTCTCAAACGCCCACAAGGGGGCGTTATCGCCCACTTTGGGAAAGACTGATCTAGAGTGATGAAACAAAAAAGGAAAGAAACGTCGACATGAGGAGCCTAAAGATAAAAGCAATATAAAACGAAAACTGGAGCCAGCGCAAGAGAGGAGCAGGTCGGCGAGGGAGCAAGACAGACGAATACGCTATACTACTCGTAGATCCGGCGAGTAACGGATGGATAACCAAAGACAGTGATGCAATCAACAGCCGCGCTTCCAGCCGCAGAGAAAGGAGGTCAAGGAACGCATACCAATGCAAGTTCGACGACGGAAACGTTGAGTTGAAGACGAACATCACCAGCGAAAGAAACTGCTGAGGAAAAAACGAGCGTGAACAACTAAGCAAACAAATAGTTCCAGAGTAGAGTAAAGATCTTCATCGGCTGGATCCGGTAAGCACCAAACACCTCAAGATGTAGTTCAACACCAGAAGAAGGTTGCATGGGAAAGAAGGCCAGGTCTGAAAAGGGAAGAGCGGTCCGACAAAGAAGGTAACAGGAGACCACTCCCAACGTATCCAGCTTCAACAGGTGAACCATGTTCCTTCATGGTTTTTCTAAGAAAAGGATATCTGATTTCACCAAACAAAAGATAAGTAAAAATTATTCTGTTTAAATTTATTTTAAAGCTAGTACGAAGTGGGTTGAGAGCATTTATTTTAGTTTCTGCCTCGCTAGAGGACAGTTTTGTTTTCATTAAGCGAGAAGCTGTTTATTTTAATTTTTTTGTATTAAGCATGAAGCTTTCAAATTTTATTTCCATTAAGAAAGAAGCTTTCTATTTTAAATGAGAATATGTATGCATAGCTAGCAGAGGATTCTGATGTAAATAAGAACACGATTCCTTCTAGTCCTATTGACTGAGTATAAAATGCTTGCATATTGTTGGTTTAGCAAAGCAACTTCGTTACACGTGAATTTAGAAATTTTTGCATGTATTTAACTTATTTTCACTTAGGAAAAGTAATAAATGAACTATATATATATAAGTTTTGCGAATTATGTTAATGACAAAAGTATTTTGCATGTGTGTAACGGAAATAAATGTGTATGAATGAATCTGTAATCCAAGCTAATACTAGAAGGGATGCTAAAAACTAAAACTAGCTTGAGATTGAATGAAAATTAAATTTAGACTGCTCCAGTCAACATTAATCTTGACTACAATGAGAACTTCAGAGCTAAGAATCGAGTGTAGGTTGTACTCCCGATGTTACGTTACGTAAAAATACAAAATATCAAATTAATAAATCGAATTTTCTTTGTACTTATGTTCAGTCTGACTGCCGGGTAGATCTTCACAAATCCAATAATGTAAAGCTATTAGAACAAACTTTATTACAGTCTATTTACAAAATATATAGATCACCCAAAATTTGTTACAGGTCTTCATTTGTTTCACATACGTCCCTTTTTTTCTATTACTCAGTTCTCAACTGTTTATTTATTTCCAAAACATCTACATTGCTCCAGCGCTGTTAGTCAGCGCCCTCGGTCTATCAGCTCGTGATTTCGTAACAATCTCCCCACCTTGAGTACGACGGAATTTTACTCAACATCACAGAACAAGTCTCTTTGGCTTATGTCTTATTCGCCCACTTCTGGAAATAACTGGTGGAAATTTCAGGTCTGCTCTGACTTTTCCATCTGGAATAGACTGCAAAACCGTCATTTCGTTTGCTTGCTCACCCATTTCCAAAGTATAAATATTCTGAACGAGTTTTAATATGTCACCGTTCTTTGTTTTTACTTGAACAACACGAACACGTCTATCCTTTCCTGGATACAGCTTAGTTATTCTTCCTAGCTTCCTAGCTGCCAATCAATCCGTTTGCTGTTTTCATTCCCAACCAAAATTATTTCTCCTAATTTTATTTGTTCCTTTTATTTTGCGGCTTTCTTAGAATTTTTAGCGTTTTTAGCGGCTTTCTTTTAGAATTTTTAGCGATTTTAGCGGCTTTCTTAGAATTTTTAAATTGTCCTAAATATTCAGCTCTGAAACTTTCTTTTAAATCTTCTCCGAGTTTTTGACGATACTGCCAACGCTTATTCAGCTCTGTTCCATTTATGTGGTCAAATTCAATCGTAGAACCTTCTACATTGTCCCTTAAAAACATATTTGGATTTAAAGGCATTAAATCTTGAATGTCTTCCGATATGTATGTCAAAGAACGAGAATTGACGACATTTTCAACATCATATAACACAGTGAGTAATTCTTCGTAATCTAGGCTTGTCCTGCCTAAAATACTCTTCAACATTTCCTTTATAATTCTAATCGTCTTTCCCACCATGCCGATGTAGGAGGATTAAATTTCCATTTAAGGTTCTTAATCGTGGCTTTTCTCTCCACCTTTCCAATTAATTTTATGGAAAAGGTTATCAGTTCCCATAAAGTTAGTACCATTGTCTGAATATATAATACTTGGTCTTCCTTCCGAGATATGAATTTTCTCAGGCTTTGCATAAATGCTTCTGTGGATAGAGTAGTAACAATTTCAATGTGTATTGCCCGATAAACGGCGCATGTAAATATCATCCATGCCTGCTTTTGGCCTCGAAGGTATAAAGGTCCAGCGAAATCGACACTCGTAATCTGGAAAACTGCAGAGTCTGTTACTCTCTCCTTTGGTTATAGGGTTTACGTCAAAATCGATTACCTTAAATCGTCTACAGCGACCACAGTGTTTTATTACATGACGAACTGTACGCCGGCATTTGACAATCTAAAATTGTTCTCTCAGAATTGCCATTAAGGCTTGAATACATGCATAGGCATTTTCTTCGTGTTTTTCTTTGATTAACAGGTTGGTAATAACGTGGTTGGGAGGAAGAATTATCGGAAATCGAAAATTTCTACTGTCGTTTCTCTGAGAGATCGTTGTCGTAGCTCGTATCACTCCTTTTTCATCCACAAAAGGTTGCAACGATACGATTGTTTTGTCTTCATGAGATTCAAATTTTCTTCTTGGATTAATTTTAAAAGAATATTCTGCTTCTTCATATTCTGCAAAAGTAATGTAACCGAAAATACGATCTTTAGGTAAAGTTCTGTCATTTTTGCAGAATCGTTTTATCCAAGTTATCATCCTTACTATCATTTTATATGAAGAATATCTGTTTTAGAATAAATCCATTGTATTTATAACGTTGGTAGCTGTTATGGCACATTTTCTTTTCTCCGAATTTATTACAGATTCGTCGGGTTGCACTAGTTTATAATAAGTGTCAATCCTTAAGTTTTCCTACAGCTATTCTGTCCCGTTCCACCACTGAGTCTTCACTGATTGTCGTACTGTACATCCTCTTGAAGCTATATCTGCTGGGTTCTGTGAACCTGGAATGTGATACCAATCATTTATGCTACTTAGTTTTCTAATTTCGTTTACTTTATTGGCCACAAATGTAGCCCAAACAGCTTCTTGTTTAATCCAACAGAGAGCATTGCTGGAATCTGACCAGTAAAAAGTTTTAATATCTGTTAGATGTAAGTCTCTTCTTATCACTGCGACTAGTCGAGAACCAGTTAGGCAAGCTAATAATTCTAAGCGAGGTATTTGTCATTTTCATTGGAGCTATTCTGGACTTAGCTTGCACTAACTGACAATGTACGCCTTCATTATTTTCTATTCTAATAAATATGCATGTTCCATAGGCCATTTTACTAGCATCACAGAATACGTGCAGACTCCATTTATCAGGTTCATAAATTTGAGAGCGTTTCAAAATCCAACGAGGAATTTTAATATCTTTCAATTCAAGCATTTGACTGTGCCATAAATTAAACTTCTTCGAAATATTCTCTGGCACTTCTTGATCTCACGGGAGTTTTGATCTGCAACATTCTTGTAATAACAATTTCGGCAGCAGTGTCAGACAAGAGAATTCAATCGGGTCGAAAATCGCTTGTGCTAAGGATAAAATTTTCCTTTTCGTTACTAATGGTACTTCTTGAGCAGGAAATTGTTTTGTGACACAGCTGAGAGTATCTTCCTTTGCGTCCCATAAAAGGCCCCATACAGAAATACAATTTGTTGTATTTTCGTTTGCCTTTAAAGAAGGTTCACTTTCGGAGAATAATCCAGGGTCATCATTTTTTTCAGGTGTATTGTACTGTCAGTCCCGAAGCTCAAATTTAGAATCTGACATTATCCGTTTTGCCAAATTGATAAACTTCTTCGAAATATTCTCTGGCACTTCTTGATCTCAAAACTATCGAAACTGGTCACGCAATTATCGACGTAAAATGATTCTTTCAATTTCCTAGCTGTTTCTTGACTTTCCTCCTCCACATTGTCCAAGTAATATGCTATAGTAGTACCTAATAAAAAAGTTCTTGAAGTTACTCCAAATGGTTCTCTACAATGTCTGTAGATCACTAAGTTATTTGGATCGCCATCTTCATACCACAAGAACCTCAAATAATCTTTATCTTGTGGATTCAAATTTATCTGCAAAAACACTTGACGTATATCAGCTGTTACTCCGTATCTTTTCAATCGAAATCGTAAAAGTATAGAAGTTATCAGTTCTAGCAGATTGGGACCCTTTTCTAAGTAAAAAATTGAGAGAAACAAAATTCTTTTCATGTGTTGAAGCGTCGAATACTGCTCTGATTTTAGTAGTGGAAGAATGCTTTATTATTGGATGATGCGGTAAATAGAGTTCGACTTGATCTTGCGATGGAACTTCTTCTATAATACCTTGTAGAATCCAGTCCTTAAAAACTTCTTGATAATCATTCAAGAGACTGTTAGCAACAAGTTTACGAACAGTAGTTAAAAGTATTTTTTCAGAGAGTTCTCGACAGTTAGAAATTGGCGGATGTATTTCCAACCACGGCAGCGATACTGTATATTTACCATCTTCATCTTGTTTTACGGCTTCGCGAAATTTATACAACGTAGCCGCAAGTCTTGTTTTAGAAGGCTTTTTGGAGGATCGGTGATACCGATAGCTTCAAGCTTCCAAAAATCATCAACTGCACTTTCATTAATGAACATGGAGAAAACAGAAATAGTATCTTCATGTGTATACACATTTGGTAATTTTCCTATTACTGTCCACCCTAAATAAGTTTCAATTGCAGTTAATCCGCATTTTAATTTCCTCACTCTGCCAATCATCAGCTTCCCAGCAATATCTGCCCAATAAGAAATTTTATTTTTGTAGGTTGCAGTAGAGGATCTTCCTCCTGATTGTAATCACTCAGCCATATTCCTTGTCGTCTAAGTTCTTTCATCCACAGTCCCTTTGTCACACTTTTTACAGTAGCACATATTTCCTTTTGGTCATTAACTTCAAAATTACATTTATTAGTACCTTCTATATTACTTATTATCACGCGATATTTTTTATGTTCCTGCATTAATTCTGTACCTCCAAAAGGACTATGTTTCATTTATTCTTCACCCACTGGTTCATACCCCATATCTGATGCCAGTTCTTTCATAATATATGATCTTTGAGACCCAGTGCCAACGAGGGCTCTAATAAGCTTTAGATTCTGATTTTCATGAATTCGGATTTTCAGAGTTTGCATCAGTACTTCAAGCATACTTGTCTGATTCCTTAGAGTATGCCCTGTAATTTCGATCATCTGTTTCAAAATATTCTAAGATTGCTATAAATCGACATCAATCACTTTTAAAATGTAACTTTTAATATGTACAATATTTACAGATCATTGATCAAAAAACATGGTGGTTCAGTTGACAAACAAATCTATATGCTTTCATTATCGAAAATCGAAATCTTTTAAATAGGAACTGAAGTGTTCATAATCAAATAGTGTGCGAAGCATCCAACATCCATTTAACGAGCTGTCGGTGGAGGGTCTATGGAAATTCAGAAGGCACGTCGCGTCGCGTTAACACGCAACGCTAGCGCCATCTATCAATTAATCAAAATAATTTCCACACACTCCCCACGTGAACTCTGTCAAGAGTTCACATTAATCTAACAACAATCAAATTTATACCAATAAGTAGTTTAACATATAATTATAAAACAATTGATAAGTATATTAATGACTAGAAAATATATTCAAATTATAATCACGATACTAAATTCTAAAAAAGGTATGTTATCATCAAATATAATTTGACACTACTTCAGTAAATCTAAACTATTCTTAATCTAATTATATGAAACTAAATTAGCAAAATAAACAATTGCACAAAACATATTCAATCATATTCATATTATTAAACAATAAAAAATGTTTTTAAAGTTCTAAAGGATATAATAATTGCCTGGTCGTTTTATTATTGTTCCGTCAGCAGTTTTTAGTTCACAAGAACGAATTTTGTTATCACGACCATGAAAAACGTTTATCACTCTACCACAATTCCACAAACGTTTGCACTTATTGTTGCCTTCAATTAATACAAGATCATCAACTTTTAGATCATCATAAACGTTAGGATTTTTTAATTGATGAACTGTCCGAAGATCCATCAAAGTATTGTTTTTATTTTTTCCATTTAGTCCACAATTGTCTAACCAAAACCGGATCTTGATAAATCTTTCTTTTGGTTAGAGAGGACTTGGTAGAGCCATCTCTAACAATGGAAGTTAAAGTTGATAGGTAATGTAGAATCTTTGTTTCCAAAAATCAAAAAATTGACTGGCTTCAGTGGCAACGGTTCCTTGTGGTCATTGTACACATATGTCAAAGGACGAGAATTCAAAACAGCTTCCCTAAAAACTTGTGCTAAAACCGTTGACAATTCTTCAAACGTTAGTAAAAGCTTTACCGAGAATTTTTCTTAAGCACTCTTTCACTGATTTTACTAAGTCTCTCGTAGAAGCCTCCCACCAAGCCCTCGTTCTATTATAAACCAAACTGATTCTTTCATTCGACAGAAAATCTTGGAATTTCTCATTCGACAATAGTTTAGAGAAATGTTCGAGTTCCTTTTTTCCCTTTTTTTTAAAGTTTTCGCGTTGTCCGAATAAATTACTCGACAATTGCCTCTCCTACATGTGAATCTTTTGAATGCCATCAAGAAAGAATCTGTAGGGAGATTCGGTACAAGTTCCAGATGTATGGCTCTAGTGATAGCGCATGTAAATAATGTTACATAGGCTTTTTGACTTCCTTCGATGTGTTTTACGTAAATCGATACCAGACACGTAGAATGGTGGTGTCTCATTGATTCTGTCTTCTGGAAGTTGAGAAGTGGTCTGGTCAGCAGATTTCAATGAATATCTTTTACAAATAAGACACTTGTTTATTATTTTCTTGACAAATTGACGTCCTTTTAGGATCCAAAAGCAACTTCGAATTTCAGCTAAGGTCGTTGCTACTCCTCCATGCATCATTTTAACATGTGTACTTTCTACAATCAAAACCGTTAGCCAGAAATCTCTTGAAAGAATTGTCGGATGTTTTTCATCATGTGACAAACTAGAATGTTCTAATCTTCCACCCACTCTCAGTATCCCGTTCTGGTCTAAAAATGGGTTAAAAAGATATAAAGATGATTTCTTTTCGACTTTATTCGCTCTCTTCAGAGACTCGATTTCTTTGGGATAAAAACGTTCTTGTTCAGATCGAATCCAATAATTTTCGGCATCTTCTATTTCTTCAGTCGTTAATGGACCTGTCACATGGTTTGTTTTCTTAATTTTACCGATGGATATCTTTATCCAACCAGTTATTCTCAACAATTTTCTTAAATTACTATATTTTGAACAATTTTCTTAAATTACTATATTTTGATATGTCTATAAGCCTTTCTTCAACTGTTGTGCACACAAATCCATAAATATCATTAATATTCTTGCGGTATTCTAATTCCTCTTCAATGACAGGTTTCTCTTCATTCTGTCGAGGCCACAACTCAGACGACATTCTAAGCCATTCTGGTCCTTGAAACCAGATAAGATTATTTTCCAACTCATGAAGTTTAGCTCCTCTTGAAGCCAAATCAGCGGGATTACATTTACCGGGGCAATAATGCCAATCTTCTAGGGATGTTAAATTTTGTATTTCCTGAATACGATTTTTAACGAAAAGCTTAAATTTCTTTGCACAGTCTTTTATCCAGAAAAGTGTAATTTTCGAATCAGTCAAAAAAAAAAAAAAAAAAAAACAAGAAAGTTGTAACTTCAAAACTTTAGTGATGCTAGTGCCTAATTTGGCTGACAAAAGAGCTCCCATTAGTTCCAACCTAGGTAAGGTGAGCGGGTTTAAAGGCGATACTCTAATCTTTGAAGCAACAAAAACCGTAAATATTTGTTCATTGCTAGAAATTATACGCAGATACGCTACTGAACCATACCCTTTTTTGCTAGCGTCAGGAAAAACAGTGCAGTTCAATTCTTTCCACATCACTATTACCGATTGCAAAAAAATAATATCGTGGAATACTGATTTCCTCAAACAGAACATAAATTTTCTGGTAATTTATGATCCCAATCTAAAGCAAGTGTCCAAATTTGCTGCAATATGATTTTGACTCTAAGTACAAACGGTGATAATAGATCTACAGGATCAAAAATTCGTCCTATTGCTTGTAGGACAAAACGTTTAGTATTAACTTCTTTTGATAGAAATGTTATCAAATTTTTTATATCAAAGTAAATTATGTCACTTTGATTGTCCCAAGCGATTCCTAACACTTTCAATGGAGGATTTCTAGCTTCCGAAACATGACTAGATTCCTCGGATTCAATACCTTCTTTAATCCATAATTCGCGCAGTTCTTGAGAATTGGTGTGCCATTTATGTAGAATCATACTAGCATCTCTAAACTGGTATTGAAAGCAAGTTCAACGTTTTGGTGTCCTCCAATGATGTCATCTACATAAAAGTGATCATTTAGAAATTCGCAAGTGGCAGGGTAGGTTTTCTCATATTGTTTCAAATGATGTTTAATTTTGCAGCCAGTAAAAACGGACTGCTATTTACGCCAAATAACACACGTGTGAAACGATAAGTTATAAAATTTTGTGGATCATCGAATGGGTTTTTAGTAAACAGAAAACGCGTTACATCTCTGTCCTTCTCATCTACTTCTATCTGAAGAAAAGCCTGCTTTATGTCACTTGTAAATGCTACAGGATGAAGCCTGAAGGCTAATAGAAGTTCAAGAATGTCAGGATACAAATTTGGACCAATATGCAAGCAGTCATTTAACGAGATTTCACCAGGTCCATGTGAAGACGCGTCGAATACGATACGTAGTTTACTAGTAGTTCGATCACTACGAACGATTTCTCTGTGAGGCAAATAAAATGTGATTTGTGATTCACTATTAACAATGTCTGGAACTGGTTCAATGATTTTTTGTTGTAAATAATCTTGTAGAACTGTTTGGTACGAATAAAAGAGTTCAGGGTTATTCTGAAATCGCTTCACAAGTTTCTCAAATCGTTTCAGCGCAATCGCTTTATTGTCATGTAACTCATATTGTCTATCAGACTTCCATGGCTGCCTAACCTTGTAAGGAGAATTTTTGTATAAAATTTCCGATTCGAATTTTTCCATTATGGTATTGTCTAATGGGTTGGATGATTCATTTTCAGGTTTTTATACCTAAACTTTCAAGCTCCCAAAATTTCTTTATCTGATCAGCTATTA